TTGCTTCTGCCACAAATTCCCCCAGCTGTGAGCCTTCCAACCTTCTAAGTATTCCTTTATATGTGGTTCAGAGTTCTGGGACCATCCCCTGAACCTGCTTGGTCAGGTATTCTGTGTTGTTGTTGGCAGAGCTCTGTACTACACGTCCACCCAATCCGCCATCTTGTTTGTTCTCCTGTTTCTCCTTGTTATGAGTGCCCCATCAGCAAATGAGGGTCCTGAAACCTTACTCCATTTGCATCATCGTCAGCTCTACTTTGAGGAGGCAGCTTTTCCTCATTTTTATTTTGCGTGCCTTCCAACCTGAGGGGCTCATCTTCCAGTACTATATTCAGGCACTATATCTGACTATGTTTCACTGCTATTCATTGGTTTCTCAGTCGCTAACCCTTCAGAAGTAGTCTTGCCTCTCCTTCCTAGTCTGGGTTAGCCTGGAAGCTTCACTGAAATTTGTTCACTATGGGTGACCCTGCTGGTATTTAAATGACCAGTGTCATAGCTTCCAGCATCATAGCAACCCACAAGCCACCACAGTACGACAAACTGACAGACAAGTAGTGGAGACCTATTAATACTACAAAATAAATGTCATTGATACTCTGAGAAAATCTTTTCTGAAACCCTCTTATGAAGATACTGTGACTAAAACGGGAATCTTAGCTACAGTGGAGAACTTGGGGGTGTGGGAAGGAAGTAATACTTCTTTTTATCAGTATGAATATTGCTGGCATTAAAACTGGTGAGATGAGACTAGGAGACTAGACAATAGTTTCCTCAGAAAAACTTTTCTTTCAGGCGTCCACCCAGTTTGAGTTACACCTCTGACTTTATTCCCTCCATTGTTAACATGTCTAACTCGTCTGCCACCTTCTGCAGTTTCATTTCCCATGTGTCTCCTTCCTAGAAAGGACACATCTTTGGCACCCATGCCATAGCTCTTATCTCCTTCTTCTGGATTTATCATTGCCTGAGTGATAGTGATGTTCTCTGATTCAAAGACAGGAGTGAGGAGGGTGGGACACAGGCACTGTGGCTGGCTGTCCTTCAGGCGTCATCACGGGAATGCTGATGAAGCAGTTCTTAAACCCAGTCTAATAGGACAGCAGCAGTCTTGGGAAGCTAGGTTGAGGGTGGAGGGGTATATTGCATCTTCTCAGTCGGGAGACCTGTGCTCACAGTTCCTGGTGAAGTCAGGGTTTCACTTGTGTACCATCTAGTGGTGGAGGCAAGAAGAAGGAATTCTTAATTCTTCATTGGTAGGCTCTTGAGATCCTCCCAGACTTCCAAACATCTGATTTGGTTGCCTTAGTTTAGCTAACCTGCTCATTGGCCATAGAATTGCATTAAATAATTTAGCCCTCTGCATCAAGGGGTGGACAATGCAGACCATTTCCCTTGCATCTTTGAGGACCCCTAGCCTTGGTTCTAGACAAAGATAAGGTTTCTGGATTCAGTGTTAGAGTAGGAAATAAATCTTATTTATTCTCTCCCCAGAATTGCCTGTTTGGGCCCTGTTGAGCCTGCAGTGTTGTGGTAATTAGGCAGAGGCACTTCAGATGGAGATGACCCAGTTATTTTCTTCGGCTTTCCTAGCAGATACTGCCCACTGCCTCCAATGTGCTCACTGTAAATGGTGGGCGGCCCTGTGGGTGGGTGCAGGGGGAAAATCCCACCCCTTCAGTAAGTAGAACCAGCTAGAGGTCAGCTGGAAGCTGCAAGCCCTCCCTGCACTGACTTGTAATGTTCCTTGTGCTCCAGGTGCTGCTGTTTCTTTAAGAGGAAAAGAAAGAAGACTGCTCAGCGCCACAAGTGACCAGTGCCTCCCAGGAGTCCTCAGGTCCTGGGGACTCTGACTTAATTGCACCTGCAGCTCCTGCCATTTCTCATTGGAAGGGACTCCTCTTTGGGGGAGGGTGGAGATCCAAACCAAAAAGAAGAAAACAGATACCCCAGAAGGAGCCAGTGTGAGCAGCCAGAACCCAGTGAGTCAGTAGCCATTCCCACCTGCCTGCGGCTCTGAGCAGGTCCCAGAGCTGCTGCTCCTCCACTGCTTGCCCTTGGGGCTACCTGGCTGACTCTCCTCCCATTGTTTACAGTGAAGGTGTCATTCACAAAAACTCAAGGACGACTAGTCTCTTCCCTCCCCTTAGTTTGCTCCTGGTGTTCTTGGCCACTCTCACCCCTCTCCAGCATAAAAGCGAGTGAACAAAAGCTTTGTCTGCCGAAGGAGCTTTGGAGGCTGGGGGTGCAGCCAAGAAGGTGGGAGGAAGATGGCAGCCCTGGGCTGGAGAGGAACCTTCTCCACCTACCAGGTATGTCCGGCAGTCTGGCTTCCTCTTGTGCCTGTGCAGCCTTCATCCCCAGCTGCTCACAGGGTACAGGTTCCTTCCTCCCTCCCTCCTGTTAAGTGACACTGTAGGACACAAGCTGTGAGAAATCTGCAGTCTGCTGTCCCCAAGCATTGGCGTTCTTAGCTTTCTTGACAAGTGAACTGTCCTCCAGATGGAAGAAGGACAGTGCAAATTGGTGTGAGCAAAGGAAAAAAAAAAACTGACTTTATTGCACTTTTAGTTTTTTTTTGGTTGTTTTTTAAAACAAAAAACATGACAGATGCATATTGTGTCTGGTTATATTGGGGTTTTACTTTTTCTGTCTTGAAGAGGATAGGGCCGCCTAAGCCATTCAGAGAGAATATGGGTCCAGAGGACATTCTCAGTGGAAAGATTTTGATCTGCAGTGCACAGAAGAAAAGAAGCCAAACTCTATGCCATTCAGAGCCCTTGCACTCAGGTGGGCAAGGAAACATATACTTGAATTTTCCTTCATCTTCTCAGCTGCCGAAGAATGTCCCTGCCAGAGCATCTTGACCTAATCAGCCTGCAGTTTAGAATACTTAGCCAAGCCAGACTGTGACTCGGAGATAGCTCATCCCAGAGAAGTAGATGCTTAACAACAAAGAAATCAAATCTCTGTTTCCTCCACTGCCAGGGACTTGTAACTGAATAGCCATGTGATTCTCTGATGACTTGTGGGATAAAATGATGACACAGCTATTACCACTAGAGGCAAAGAAGAAGGGGAACGTGAACCTGCCTTCCAACTGCCAGGGGAACCTCAGGGTGTGGTGTTAGAGGGCCAGGAAAAGAAAATTGGTGTGTACTGTCTTCCCCAGTAGCTAAGTTCCAGCACTTGGGCTGATCTGCCTTATCAGAAGCCAAGCCCATGAAGACCTTCTCCCAACAGGGCCATAGTGGTGAGATGTATCTAGAACATGTTCTCTCATACATTCCCCACCTCCTGCCATGGTGTTTTCACATGACATGCTACCAAGGAGGGTCTTGGTTCCTCACTCACTGCCTGAAAAATCAATACTGCTTAGAGCTGCTCTTTCCATGTTTGTTTTTCATTTGAGTTCAGTGGCTTACTCAGACAGTGACTTCTCATTCCATATGTGACAGAGATTTTTTACATTAAGACAGATTATTTACATTAGGAAAAGATGTTTTGTGTCTGAAAGAAGAAAGACAAATGAACATTCCTCTTTTTGCCCCTTTATTTCCACATTTCAGTGGAGCTAGAGAGGACTTACCCTGGAGGACCATGACTAGTGACTTAGTCTGGGAACACAGAAGCCATGCCTTCTAGCTTGATATGTCTGTCAGACTGGAGGGTGTGGAGATACTTTCTGGGAGTTGGAATTTCCTGACAAGCCCTTCTTACTTGGAACAGAGCAGCAACATTAGCATGGACCAGAGTTACTGCACTTCACCTGTTCCATTGGACCTTGTCTTGAGAATATCACTTCTCTAGCTTCAGACTTTCTCATTTGATGACTGTACTCTTTATTTAAAACAAGTACGAAAAAACAAAAAAACTTTATTCAGAATATAGAGTGGCAGGGAAACTTTGTGTCATGCCCCTTTCTCACAAGGACTTTGAATGCTGAACTTTGCTTCATTGCCATCAGCTAGTGCTAAGCGTCCATCACTGTAACCTCCATAGCTTCTCAGTTGGCATTTGGGCAACTCTTGAACTTCTTGTATAGAAACTTTAGCCTCCTCATCTCTGTGTAGAAAGAGCCTTGTGTCTCAAGAGAAGGAATGGGGGAACAGTGGTAAAGCCTGCAGTATCCTGGCACTCCATAGCCCACTAAGTGCCTCCTCCCACCTCCCCAAAAAACAAAGGCAGTGACCCGCTTGGCTATGGGGCAAGACCCCTTTGCAGCTACCAGAGGGCTTCCAAAAGTTCATGGGAAAATTCCATTGTGTTTTAATTCCATTTTTCCACAAACTTTTTGAAGCCGCCTCATATGTTTGTGGGAGGTTTGTTCATGTTTTTGTCTTGAAATGTAGTAAAGGCTAGCTCTTGAGTTGAATTAGAACAGTGGAGGAAGATCCTTCTCAATACACTGTTCTCAACTTCCACCCTACTCCCTACAAATATCTTAGAAGATACTTAGTTTTCTTAACAAAGGTGAAGAACCCCAGATCTCTTTAGAACACAGGGAATAGTGATCCTTCCAGGGCCCTTGGTATTCCAAAACAGTCTCAGATCCCTGGGAGATTCTGTTATGACCTTCCTTAAAACAAACACATACTGCAACTGAGTACCACAGAAGGGATGTGGCCATCAGCTCTTTCCCTGCCAGCTCCTCATCCCTCCACAGCCCCAATCTTACAGTTGCTTAGCAACATGCTTCACTGGGATCCTTGGGGTTGAGCATACCCTCTCCCCAAATCCACTTGTTCTGTAGTTTTTGAGCTTTCTCCATTTCGAAGCCATGATGCCTGAGGATCTTTTCTTTGATGCATTTGTTTCTCCTTAAAGCTAAGTCAGCAGCTGTTAATGAAGAAACCATCAGTACAAGACACCATTAGGAATTTGCCCACATGCTGCTGTTTCTGAGGCATTAATTGCACCCTGGTCCAGAGTATAACTCCTATCTGCAAGCCAAGCATGTAAGGAATTACTGGCTATACACCTTGGCACTCCCAAGAGACCTCACGCCAGAATGCTCCACAAGGTGGACATAACCCCCCAGTAGCCAGTGTGCATTCGTGACTGCCTTAACATTCTCTTGTTCTTTGGGGTCTGTCTGGGAGTAAGCAGTGTCTGGAAAGATGTGAGTTAGGTTGCCTGACCCTTCCTTTAAAGGTCCATTTACTTTGGAATGCTGAGGCTACAGGAGACAGCAGGGATGATGAGGTTCCCAGTAGAAGTGGTGACTTGTTCTCATTGAATTAATAGAAACAGCCCCTGCCCCTTAGCCAGATGAGGTGTCCATTGCATCTAAAGTAACTTCCAGCTTAGTTCAGTAGAAACATGCACTGCTAGTGTACATTTTCACGTATGATTCTCAGTAAACATTTTAAATGGCAGAAATAATGCAATGTTGGTAATGTTATGTCACAGTGGTTACTAAAAATCATAGCCTTAAAACATTTTTAAATGTAAAAAATGTTTCCCTTCCCAATAAACAAGCATGGCCTACATTTTTCAAAAAAAGTACTTCCATGGCAGCCTAGAAGGAAACTCCTGAAAAGAACTTGATCTTCTGATACATCTTTCCCTAGCCCAGTGCTTCCTGTGTCCCAGCCACCTTTAACATTTTCATATTTAACCCTGTTTTCTGTTCTCTGTGAGTTTCCCTGACAATACTTGTCTCCCCCATCAGAGCCAGGTTAGGATTAGAGCTTCAAGGGTGGGGAGCTTGCAGCCAACAAACATTACCTTTGCCAAGCCACTGCCACCATCTCCATCATTGCCCAAGGTGAACAGATAAGTCCCAGGAATCCCTTGGAAGCCAGGATAACCAGACATCCCACTGGGATTGGCCATGTAGGCAGTAGGCACTTGTCTCTGGTTTTCTTGCTTTTGCAGACTCTTCAGAGCTCCAGAAAAGTTCCATCTAGAGAGGCTGACCAGTGACTCCCAGTCTTCCCCATGGATTGGTAGAAATCAAATGACATTTCTTTGATTTTTTTTTTTTTTTTTTGGTGTGGGGAGTGGAGAAGGCTTGTTTTTCTGAATCTGAACTAGAAAAGGAAACCATGGCCCTTTTGAGGATTTGTAAAGTTTTGAGCAGTATTTTAGCCATAAGTAAGGATAGTGTAGTGGTTATGAATCGGGCTGCTAATCGCATGGTCAGCAGTTCGAAACTACCAGCCATTCCATGGCACATAACAACAACAACAAGGGATCTTGGAAGTCTGTTCAATGAAGCAGTCTAAATTTTTCCTTTTTCCTAACTCCCTTTGCTGGTGACTGAGTGCACAAGAATAGGTTTCTCCATTGTATTCAAAGTAGTAAGAAGGTTCCCAGGATACCAACAGTAGCAGTTGACACATTTCCTCAAAAAGCAACCAGGAAAGCCACTCCAGTATTTATAGATCAGCTTACAAAGGAAAAAAGTGACTATGTACTCCATGTATTTCTAGCTTAATTAGCAAACTTGATGTTGAAAAGAAACCTCATTCTGTGGACAGAATCTCTTTGGTTGTTTTCTTTCACTCCTCACCAACCATCTCTCTGGTGCCATCACCTTCAAGGTCTCTGAGCAGAAGGTTATAGTCATCCCAGGAACACGAGGACAGCCATCCTGACTGTCCCCAACCTTGAATTTTCAGTGTTCTTCTTCATGAGCTCCAGACCAAATTCCAGGCCAGCCCTTGCACCAAAAGCCTTTTTTAGGAGGCTTATCAATCTGTCAGGAATGTCTCAGGAAAGATGAGCCATTTCTTTGGGGGGGGTGGGGGTATTTACAGATGGGGTGTGTCTGATTGTGTGTGGAGGGGTGTATGTGTGAGCATGTGCACGCTTAGCTGTGTGCATTTCACTTCCATAAAGACTGACAGCCCCGGCTGTGGGGAACCATGTGTTCCTGAGTATTCTCAGAAGTAAACAAGTGACAAGTGAGCTTCTCAAATTAGTTTAAGTAGCAGCAAGCTGGCTCTGGGAATGAGCCTCGTTTATCAAGCCAAGAGAAGAGTAACAACAGAAAAGACGTAGATGAAACCAAAAATATTATAGCCCCCTGTGGAAAATAATGTTGATTCAGCAATTCCCATTGGATATATTACATGTCTAATTTATTATATTATTATTTTGTCTGTTCCTTTGCCCATTGTACTTTTTAAGAAGTGTTGGGATGTTGATTGCAATTTTTTTTAAAACGAGATAATGTATTAATCAGCTGTGGAGATCAGTTTTAATTGATGTGTGGATGTGTCTGATTATTGTTAAATGCCTTTTTTGTTTTTTTTACTTTTTGTTTTAGATATGTAATGTTTTCTTAAACCCTGGCACTGGTTGAAAAGTTCAGCTGTGAAAATGAAACTTGTAGTATTTTTTAACATGAATGTCAATTTCAAGTGTATTTGACATGGTTCCTCCAGGAGAAAGGTTTGTGTATCATTAGGAAAGACTCCTCCGCTGAGGAAGTAGCCTTCTTTGGAGAAAATGGAAAATGGGTCCCTGATATCTCAGAAAAGCCCATTTCCTAGGGCACCATGGAAAACACAAATGTGATCTTTAAGTATACTTCTTCCCCAGTTTGGGGAGGAAAAGACTCAGTTTGCACCCTTTTTGTATGTAAAATAAAATGTCTTACCTTTCTTGACTAGTTCTGCTTGCTTGTTTGCTTCCTTGGTTGGTTTGTTGGGTGTTCCAAGCTAGTTTGTTACTATGAATCTAGCCAGGATTAAATTTGATGCTATTCAGGCGCCTGTGAACAAAAAATCCTGGTTCTTTGGCTTCATTGGCCTTTCCTGTGAGTCACTTTAAGTATTTTAACATGAACACTCAGCATGATAGAACATGTATCCTATAGGGGAAGTCAGGACTTCTGCGGAACACTTTGAAATAGTCACCTTATAATTCTCTACTAGTGAGGAATATGTTTGCAGACAAAAGGGAAAACTATGAGGTGTAACAAATTCACAAGTGCATATTTGGCCACAAAACTGCCAATCTAGGCATGATTGGCCAGTTGGTTTTTTCTGTTGCTCTTCAGTTTTTTCACTGGAAGGCAAGAGCAGATGATCATGAGATGACAACGTCACATTGAGAACATTTTATCCTTCAAACTGAATTTTCCTTCTGTGTGTGTGTGGGCGCGTGCGCATGCACGTGTGCACACGTGTGTGTTGGGGTGTTGGGGGGAGTTGCTGCTTTTAGTGCCATGTTAGCATTAGCTCATGTGCTGCAGGCTACTTTGAAAACATGGTTTGGTAAACTTTTTTTGTCCTCAATGGCTG